TAGATGAACCTTTACAATTAATTACATCAGAGCATACACTATAGGATCTATTATGTTATCAAACACATCTTTATAGAAACTGAGAGATCGTAAAATTTTATGAAGTGGGTTGACGTAGGTATACCAATTAGAAATGAAAATCTATTCCATGTTTCAATCATGGCTCCGCCTGATATTCTAATCATACTAGGACCCGCCCGATTTCGAGTGAACCGGATATTATTTTTTAATTTTTACCTTTTCGATTTCGAATTTGGTAAAAAAATAAGATGACATTATATTTTTAATAATTAAGAAAATGCGCAATCCTTGATTTCAGTTCAATACTGTCTCATGTACCTAAATGTTTAAGTTATTTTAATTTATCATAATTTTGTTCAAAATTTACGTAGTGTTTTAATAATAATTCGGTTCGTTGATTCGACTTACAATGTTTCAACAGTGAAAATGTTCTAAAGCATCGGTTAAATATATTCCATTTGACTGAGCAAAAGCTGCCATTATTCAAACTAAATAATGGCCCTATTTGTACCAGCATTCAGAGCATCAATATTTCCAACAGACTCAATAGCCTTACGTATTAATCAGGATGTATTCAGATCACGCGCGAATCGTATATTTTTTATTCTCCTGTACTGTAAAGTCAATTAAAAAGTGATTGTTTTGTCCGTAGCGGTGTTACTCTAATTTACATTCATCACGACGGTGGCAGAACGTGACTTATCTCCACGTCATAAAGCTTTGTTTCTCTTAGTAGTACCTGCCTACGTCGGTGGGATTTCCATAAAAATGTCCGGACAGAAAGTATAGGGCAAGGAATAAATCAATGCTAGCGACGCCATATTCCTACACCACTAACTAATCCAGAACACGCGAGCCGATATTTTACAGGGGCGTTCCTCCATACATTAGTTTCTACGTTACACAGTTCCTGGAACCTCCATTGTGTAATTTTCCTCGTAATAATTCAAGATATGTGGACAGCTAAGTTGCATGCTCCATTGTGCATGGGCAAAAATATTTTTTTCCCGTGACATAACAGATTTGTTTGAATGTTTTTTTTTCTATATCCGTAATGTGGTTAAGTACTTCAAAAATCCACCAGAAATTTTTGAAAACACTGTTTCTGCATTAAAGTCTTTCTAAGTGCTCCAAGCACTAGTTCTTTACAAAAGTTCAACTTTTCATGTGGTACGAGTACCAATAAGAAGTGCCACTGGCTATCACAAAAATATAAAGCTGCATTCTTTATGAAGTAACTGAAACTGTAATTAGATGGAAAGCCCAAAACCCAGCCCGAGTCGGCTGGCCCAAATCCAATCCCCAGCCCTCAATCTCATAAAGTATGTACTAGTTACAATGTTTCTTAAGTATTATGTTAGTTATTTAAACTACTCTAATTACGTGCTACTGTAGCATGTAACGGCTGCCAGTGCCCAACTAACCCTTAATTATTTCCATATGCCATCAATCAGTCGTCTGCGTGCTTCTCACTATGAAAGAAAAAGAATAACCAAAAAAAACTGGCTGAAATTGTTTTAAAACAATTACGCAAGTATTAGTGACCGTTCCATTAGAGTAACTCATTAAAACCTACATATGAATGATCATTAAGAAGTCGTGCGTTTGTAAAAAACATAATTATTACTATGCTGAATATATAGGTAAATAAAAAATATTCTAGTCAGAAAATTCCTACTTCAATATACAATTTGGTTGAAAATGTTCATATTCAACGAGCTATTTCAACTTGAAAGTTGAGAATGATTGCATAAAAGGAACGGAACTTAATCATTGTTTCCAAGTAATCTTGTATTCCTGGGTAGACATAGTGAGAAAAAGTGCTTCAGTAGCACGCCATTTTGTAAAGCATTCCGAGCTTTTGCAGTTAAAGTTCAGCGTCCAACTCTGTACCGAGGAGTTGGATCAAATTTTCTTTCTTAGTTTTAATAGGGAATTCTTTGTTGCGCCAAAACTTCCACGACGCAATCAGTCGTGTTGTGATTTGATTTGATATTTTCTGAATTGAGAAACACCAAGCAATGTTACTAATTCGTTCTTTTAAATGTATCTAAAACAGATATGTGACATTTTAAAAATGAAAGTATTTGAGATGCAAAATACAAAAAAGAAATACCTATTTCCATTTTGTATTTAAATACTTTTTTAAGAAAAGAACATTTTCTATTATATTTTAAATAATTTTAAGGATTTATTTTGTATATACAAAATGCTCAATACTTTTTAACCGACTTCAAAAAGGAGGAGGTTTTAAAATTCTCAATTCGGTCAGTATATTTTTTTAAGAATATTAACTGATGACGCTGAGATTTCTGATCCAATTTACGTGATTTTTTCTCCAATGCAGTTGTCATTTAGTCACATACAAATTTGATTCGGTTAGTCGCAGTAATTTTTATTTTATGGACGTTTTTGTAAACTTGGTCGGTGTTATTTAAAAAAAAAATTATGTTTCACCCAGTTATTTTTATTTTATGAGCACTTTTGCTTACTTAGACGATTTAATTTTCACGACATTTTGTGGCTCTTTTTATTAGGGATTGAATTATTTTTTCACAAAAAATGAAACCAGGATTCGGAATCGAAAATGTAAATTTTGCACATTCCTAATCTTGAACTACTGTGTACACACTAACAATGGGTTTTTGTTGATTTGTAGCACTTCTTAAAGGTAACAATAACAAGCACTTCAAACCAAGTGTTCAGGTTAATTTTATAGTCATTTATATCCAAACATACCTTTTCAGCTGATATCAAATCACAGCACAACTGATTTTGCCGCGAGAAAAGCGCAACAACACTTTTTGAATTGATTCGCTGGTTTTTATTAATATAATAAACACAATTGGAATCAAATTACAGCAAACTACAACCAAATAACACTATAATATAATATTGTATCCGTTTTTTTTTGTGATGCAGGCAAAACCTCTGTTTACAGACGATGGTGCTTTTAAGAGGCACACCGCCGAACGGACCTCACACCTGGCTCCCGCAAGCTTTACGAGCCCCGCACTGGCTGCCCACTCAGGACCCCGTAACTCTTTTGAGCGCTTCACGGCATAATAGCCGCTAAAAAACCCTGCGAATACCCTCTAAGCTGCTTAGTGCGAAACCGCGGGATTCCCGTTTAGGGATTCTTCCGCGTCTCCGCACCCAGCAGCCTCCCAGCCTAGCCGTGGCTCCACGGCAGGAGTCTCCCTAGGTATTGCGGGGACACCACAGACGTGCGCAGGATGGCCCGCACGTGGAGGCTGAGTACCTACGTAAGTGGCCTACTGCCCACCGTACCGCCCCCCGTCCGCTGCGGAGGACTACTTGGGCGTGCTCGTGCAGCTCCCTCCGCCGCCCCCCTCTTTGCAGGACAGAACTACAAGAGGGGGGCTGCCTTCACGGGATCCCTCAGTGGCCGGCACGGCACAATGCGCCGTACCTGAAACTCAATAATTTATTTTTATATAAACAATGTGTAAAGGAGGAACTCAATTTCCTGACTACCCTATTGTTAAGAAGCATGGTAGACCTTATAACTCGGTCATACCGCTATTGCCAGCTTTGTCTTAAGAAACCAGCTAGTGGGTCTTGGAATACAAGGTCTCTGTCTCCTCCAAAACCTACCAGTAGGTCTTGCAAATCTATTTACGAAATAGATTTTTACTAGGCAATTGACCGGCTGGTGGGAGGCATGTCCACTGAGCGTCATTCGATGCATGGCCAATCGTGATGGCTTCCCGTGTCCTCTGATAGAACCATGCCACCCCGAGACACATCTGTTCTTCAATCTAAAAGACTTGAAAACTTTGGTTCAATTTGCCATAAAGACTGGAGTGACAGCATCGGCTATCTTCACAACAAGACGTTATCTAAATATTTGCAAATCCTTGTAAAAGTAGTCTTTTAGCAAACTAAGAAACTTAAGAAATACAACGATAACTGTTTTTGGAGAACAGTTTTTTGGAAATGTGTGGAAGCCAAAGCTCAACCACATCTATTGTGAGCATTCTCCGGCGCTTTTCCAATCTTCGTAATCCCCCTCAACGACTTCTAATCTTCCGGCCGCCCAGCTTGTTCTGTAATTTACCGTCTTATGTTCTGGAAACAAATCTAAGAAGCAGATATTAAACAAAAACATAGTAATAAGGAACGAAAAGAAACTAGTTTTTAGTTAGACGACGCATTCCTGAAAAGAATGCGAAACGTTAAAAAATAAATAAATTGAGTACATCTAACCCGTTAAAACTAGTTTTATTTATTGAGTGATGTGCTTGAAAGCCTAAGAAACAAATAAGGATTCTTCAGTTATTTATTTAAAGTTATTTCCGCCTCTACTAGAATATTTTTCAAGGTATATAAGTATAAAATATATAAACATGTATACGCGACGCATGTTGAGTCAAATCCAAGCTAATATTTTTAATATTGTCACTCATAACAAAGAGGTAATTATTATATCTATTTATAATTACCTCAAAATATTTATTTATTTAATTTTTTATCCCGGTGGGGACAGATGTTTGTGTGATGAATACGAGCATTTGTACTCCAGTCATGGATGTTTAATATGTAATACTATATAAATATACTTATTTAAGTTCTGAATATGTATTATATCCGTTACCCTAGTATCCCATGACACAAGCCTTATAGTGCTTACTTTTTGGGGCTAGGCTAATTGGTGTGAGTGTATGGAAATATTTACATTTATATTTTTTTTTATTTATATTGTATAACTCAATTTACTCGTACTGACGACAAACCCATAGAATTGATGGAAATTTCTCTTCAAAAAATAGTTTTTTTTACCTGTATAAAATATCTAGGTACCTTTTTTTAGTGTCTAAAAAATACATGACGTAAGGTTACAATATAAATCGTCATTATGATAATATTTTTCATAATGTACCAATTTTCTTTTCCTTTATAAGTCCCTTGGTTGCTGGATTTCAAGATTCAGCGTCTCACGATTGCTTCTATTCCAGGTTCTGATGCCGAGCCAGTGTGGAAACTTCAGGATCCTGGCTTCGACCAGGGTTATGGTTCAGAGAGGTCCCCAGAAGACGACTACGTGCCTCCCATAGTGCCTGCAATTTCTTTAGAGGCGTACGAAGCGGAACTGAGAACAGTCTACCCGTTCATCAATGATGGTAAGTTGAGCTTATATGAGCTAAAGTTGAGATTTCAGAGGTTATAGTTTACAATTATTACCTTTATTACTAATCGCTTAAAGATGACTTTACCTGCTCTTAGATTGAATAATTGTATGCGGTCTTTCTGTCTTCTCCTCAAAAATACCACTAAGCACAATTTATCATTAAAATTGGTAGGATGTGTTTATACTCGCAATAAAATTGCGTTTTGGTGGATTTAAAAATACCTTCTTATAATTATAAATCTTCTTTTATTTATCGTTATTTGATAGCGACTAAGCCTCATTTAAATAAAATATATTCTAATCTTGTTGATATAGGTTTGTAGGCAAAATACAAATTTTCATTACACCAACCGCTCATCTCGCCATCGCGTTGTCGCGTCGGAACATCAGAATACGTAAATAATCTAATCTGAATATTGAAATATGTTCCTGGGGATTATCGCCGAGAGATCTATTAAAACGGTACATTACGCCGACGACGAATTTAATTAATTGTAACACAATGGGGAGACGATATGGCGTAAACGTAACATAATGGAATTACAGTCAATCAGATCCAACGATGCCATCAATTATTCTTAGGAATCGATTGCGGGGAGATCATCAATAAATATGTACACTACAACACCTACCAATTTCTACCGTTCTCGGAGGAATCACGAGAGACTATGAGTATTGCAATATCGCCAAATTGATGTATCGTATTTCTCTTGTGTTTGTGTTATCTTTGGGAATGACCAAAATGGAATAGGAGTATTGTTATGCTGCAAATACGGTTTTGTCGTAGAATCCTTTTTATTCGTATCCTTAGTATTACATTAGATTCTGCGTTCTGACTGATACGATTTTGCATTCGATGGAAATTTCGACTATAGTGAGATATTTGAATTACAAATTTTTTGTTTTAAGTTTGCAAAAGGGTAAGGTAAGCCTTCGATTGATTACAATGATGATTACTTTTGTACAACGCTAGATTACATGGAACATATAAATCGCCTTTTTTCGCCGCTTTTCACAGAGATAAAACAAAATTTACACATATGCAATGCGAGTCAAAAGTTATCACGGTGAGTACGATGATGAATATTGGATACAATGAATGACTTATAATTGAAGAGCTGGCGAACAAAACAGCATAATTACGCAGCTGGTCAAACAATTTTTTTTACATTCCGGAGGTTACGGGCCCATTGAATTTTAAAATAAATTTCAATTAATACCACCTAAAACAATGTTAAAATTACTAAATTTATAAATTAAAAACCATGCCAAAAGATCACTGGAGGTATGTCATTCAGTTTTATACAGCCCCTGTAAAATGTAATTTTATGTAATTATACCGTTTTGTTCGCCAGCTCCTCAATTGATTACATTAAAACATCAACTGTATACGCGAAGGAATTCCTCCGCCAGGGTAAGTCATTACAAAAATTTAAGAAGCTCGATATAAGTATTTTTTTCATAGTTTTATTTGATTAATTATCGTCTTTCTAAAACTTTTTTTTATATTAATCAACACTCCATACATCACTGGAAGTATCGCGTGGAAACTCAAGAGGGTGGTGTACACATTAATTACCAAAGTTACGGACACGACGCAAAAATGGTAGGTAATTAAAACCCTTAATACGAGGAGTTGCTATATCAAACTTTTTCTGTGAAGGCAGTTTCATTCATTAGTTGGAACATGGGAGCTGTTGTAACGTACGAGCCTGTATCGAAATGTATACACATAATAAAATGGTAGGAAAGTCAAAACTGTACATTGAATATTTTTTATAAGAATACTTGGGGTGTCATCTACAATCGACACCGAAGCCAAAAATATAGTTTTTAGAATTTTTGGCTGTTTGTCTGTATGTATGTCCGGGATAAACTCAAAAAGTACTGCATGGATTTACTTCAAATTTGGCACAAATGTTATTAAGAAGTCGGGTCAAAATATAGGCAACATATTATCACGCCATCACCTACGGGGAACGAGCAGTAAACCTTTATTTCTTCAACGCATTCTGTAACAACGTGTAATCTAACGACGCATATTTGAATGTTGTTATTATGTTAACCATGCTATAAGCTAGCTTCACACTATAAGTAACTTAGGCCGATAACAAAATACTAAAATCATATTTGTACGAGCCGACTCGTACAATTTTTGTCTAGTTTGCACTTTACGCCACATTCGATAATTTAGGTCACGCTCACATCAGTCACTCACACTGACATACTCATATCAATTATCATATCATTCTTATAAGTTTAATTTGTTGAATATATCATTTATTTTATATCAGGACTTTCACTTTATCAACTCTATCATAAAAAGGTGTGCAAACCATACAATATTATTAATAAAATCCTATATTCCCCTTCATAACAGTATTTCCTGGCGGCACACGGCCGGGCTTACAGTTTAAACTACTTTGTGTTTTTAGAAGCTCACCTCGGGATGCCGCCGGGACATTTCATGTGTACACTGCTGCTCTGAACGCAGCTGAGGCCTTGCAATAAGACGATACATTGGAGAAATGAATATACGCGTGCTTTTGATATTGAATAACATAAATTCACGTCATATTCTTAAGAATAATACTCAAACTATTACGTGATATGCGTAAATCTTAGGTAGTATTTTTTTGGTTCGATTCGATCGGTCTGTTGATGAAACTGCGGTGATTCTTTTTCTTCCTCTCTAGTCCTGGACTGGAATAATATGTAAATCATGGTTAGTTTTCTAAGTAAAAACTTAGAATCAAAATAATAGGTATTAATAACCTAGAATTTACATTCATATATGCCTTACTGCCTGGACGAGTCTAAGGGCGAATCCACAACACTTTTTCCTCAGTCCGTCAGTCCTTGCCCACCATCACCCACTTCAATTAGCTCGTAACTGGAATCCATTTGCGTTAATCTTTACCAATATCGACATAGAGATATTAACATTAACGACGTCTCAATATTTATAGTAGTTTCAATACAACTGCTTGATTACAGAAATATGCCTTTTTACAAAATCCAAAAAAAATATTTTTTATTCAAATCAAACAGGAGGAGTTTTTTTAATTTGAACCATTTTTGAGATATTTTTGTATATTGTTTTAAACTTTCATGGTCACTAACATTATAGTAATATAAGTTATTTACGGGATTGTTACCATGATGGTAACAATCCCGTAAATAACTTATATTTTTGTATGATTAAAATCTTAAACGAGACTTCTCCGTAAATGTTCCGATTCTAAAAAATCTTGTTTGTAATTGCCTAAGATAAAACAGTTATAATGATCTGTACCCCTAGCACGAACAATTATCGAATTCGAATAGTTTGCGAGTCCGAAATGTCATTGTCAATTTTTGTATGAAAACTTGAACGTCAGCGCCACAACGGACGTAAAGAGAACTAAAAATCAGTACACATTTGACAATGACTTTTCGGACTCGCAAACGTTACGAATTCGATATTGGTTCGTGCTAAGGGTACTGATCATGGCTCTAGTAGCGCAAGGGTCTATAGATTATGGTAGCTGGTTACAGACAGACAAGACACCTTCATTAGATTTCCGTACCCAAAAATGACACTGGAACTCTATTCTGAGTAAAATAAAAAGGTGAAACTTTTGAAATCATTAATAAAAAAGTCCTTCCTCTGCTGGGGTTCGAACCCGGGCCGCCCTCGTAGGAGGCGAGCTTTCACTGAATCACCGATGCTTCTTGATAAGGTCTCAATTTTTAAATAACAATTAAAATTGTAATGCTTCATGATAAAGATGAAAGAAAAAAAATTCTCTTTAAACATTTCTATGCCTGCACTGTCTGTTTGTCCGTCATCATAGATTATGGTGAACAGTAGACATTTTTACAGATTGTTAATATACCGACAAACAATTAAATCTAAATATTAAAATGATGATATAATGGTGGCCCCGTTTAAAAACCTCTCTGAGTTTTTTATTCGACCTCATCATCATCAGCCTATTAATGTCCCTACTACTGGGGCACAGGCCTTCGCTATGGATGGTATAGGGAAAGTGGGCCATGACACACCACGCGGGCCCAGTGCGGATTTGTTGGTAGGTGCTAACGACTGCAGATGCAACCGGGACCGACATCTTAACGTGAATTCCGAAGCACGGAGGAACGTTATCTGGAGAGTAAAATTTTCCCATCTAATGACCGACCACCGCGAAAGTTGCTTAACTTCAACGATTGCAGCCTAACGCGCTAACCACTTGCGCCATCGAGCTCCTCAACCTCAACAATTCGACCTTATTAGGTATAAATACTTAGGCTTAAGACACTTTTGCTATTAATAATATTCGATTGAGATTAATGCTAATATTTATCTTAAACAAACCTTTTCGTGTGCGAGTCTAACCGCACTTGGCCGGTTTTCGCATAATATGAAAAACAAAGCAATAAATAAAAAGCACGGCATTGGCCATTCGATATCGGACATGGTCATACGTTGATTAATGCGAGTGATAAATCACAGTACAACTACCAATGATAACCGCATTTGACAAATTAATTCGGCCAAAGCTTTGACGCCGATTGTACACGTAACATAATTAGTTTAGACTCTGGTCATTATTACAATGGAATATAAATGTGTAACCACTGGATTGAATCTGCTTTTTGAATACGAAGCATACGCGGTGTTCCGTATCCATAGTACCTATCTGGTTTTATAATATTTGTAGAATAACTAATGTCGAGCTGTACAAATCAAAAAAAAACAGACTAATTCTTAGACGATTTTATAGGCAACAAAAATAGATATGCTGCTTCTATAATTCTAACATACTTTTTCCTCGCCACCACCTCGCACCCACTAGTATATAATAATTCAAGGCAAATATTACAAGCTACTCTGCGTCTAACTTGTGTCCTCATTTATTTCTATTCGGCAATCATTCCTTCAACCCTATACGTCATCAATGTTCATGGTTCGTGATCCACGGATTTGGTGCTTAAATCTAAACGCACCAT